TTTGTTGTACCAGGGCTAAATGGCAACCACTAACTATAAGACCAACTCAACAACCGGAGTTCACTGTGTCGAGGCTCAATCAGCAAGCCACAGTGCACCCAATAAAATCAACCACTTTCTATCCCCGTACAAAATGACATAGATGCTGACACAGCACCAGCAGCCCTTTGCTCTGCTTTCCCCAGAAAGCTTAAAAAATGATGTTTGTAGATGTTTCTATACAAAATGAGGTCCTGCTGAATTCACTGGGGCTGAAGAATGCAGCCTCAAGGAAGTAACAGATCCAGGAAGGCCCCAGGATTCTCGTGATGGACTGTAAGTATACAAATAAATAGACACAAGAATGCAGCAGGTGAAGAGAAGATTATCCTAAAAAAAAGGTATCACCCAGAGCCTCATTGTTTGAGTTGGGCAGTCTTACAAAACATATGAATGAATAAATAAGTGAACAGCCTTATGGCAACAATACCAGAATTACTTCACGCCAATAAAAATAAGCTGTATCTTTTTTTTTTCCTGGTTAATGTAGCTGCTTCTTAAATTACTTCTAGCTGCCTCTGCAGTGTGTACAAAGTGGCTGTGCAAACATACACATGCAAATATAGTCTCAGGAGATGGCTGGCTGGGGAATTCTGGGAGTTGATGAAGTCCACAATTCCTAAAATCGCCAAGATTGGACATCCTTGCTTTATATATTCAGAAGTACTTCACCCAATAGAAAACCTACGAGCGGTAGAAAACTAAAAAGCTGTACAAATTCTCCCTGCACTCTTTACAGGGTTTGTGTGTATTGTACATTGTATAGACGCAATGCTAAGACTGGATTATCGCAGGGTAAATCCAATTAGGAGATTACTTCCAAAACTGATAAGGTTTATCGAGCTATTAATTCAAACTCATTTTATTTGGCTGTATTTCAGACCAGTTAATTTTTAACACAATCAATTCAACTAAAAAAATAGCACATTGCTTTTTTTTTTAGTGTATATAAATAAGGCTATCAGTTAGTTAAAGAAATCTTACGGGCTTTAAGCAAATCACTTGAGTAAATGTAAATGTATCTGCATGGGATTTACCCAAAGACATGAAGAAAGCACTTTGTTTTAAGAGATGCTGTTGTGTTTAGAGAAAATGTTTTAGAAGAAATATGAGTGTCACTTTACAAAATAGGCTCAGTAACTTTTCTTTTGCACTTTGCACTGAACCAATTTATTTATTTATTATTTATTTATTGGTTTGATTTATATGCCGCCCTTCTCTGGAGACTCAGGGCGGCTTACAATGCGTTAAGCAATAGCCTTCATACTTTTGTATATACCTGCTTAGTAGGGCTTTCGGCCCCCCCTAAGCGGTGTTCTTTTTTTATACAAAGTCAGCTTATTGCCCCCACAATCCGGGTCCTCATTTTACCTACCTCGAAAGGATGGAAGGCTGAGTCTCTTGCATGTCTCTTTACTGTGGGCATGTTTTAAGCAAAACATTAGTTGGTCTATCCCAGGAGTTGGCAACCTTAAACACTCAAAGAGCCATTTGGACCCATTTCCCACAGAAAAGAAAACACCGGGAGCCACAAAACCTTTCCCATGCCTGACTATTTCCTGAGCGGCCACAGAACTAGCATATGTAGTTGAATTAAACATTCTGTTTTCTTCTGAAACTTTTCTTTTCTTGGATTTATCCATGGTTGGCCTACTGGGGGTCGAAAAGCTTATTAAATCGTGTGCCTGCGGGTATTACACATTGGCAGTTGTGATGTTTATTTTGAGTGACAGGGAGCCGCAGCAGAGGGGTGAAAGAGCCACATGTGGCTCCAGAGTTGCAGGTTGCTGACTCATGGTCTATCCTATTTATATACATTATTTTGCTATGATGGATTTTAATATCAGAATTTACAGGTAGTTCATGATTTACAATTCTTCAGTGAATTGTTCATTCAAAGTTACAGTGGCGTGGAAAAAAGTTACTTATGACCATTTTTCACACTTACAACCATTGCATCTTTCCCATGATCAAAATTCAGATGCTTGACAACTGACTCCATGATTGGAACTGTCATTGTTGGGCCTGCTCTCATCATTGCTTGACTTGCTGCTTGACTGGAACTGTTGATTGGAACTGTTACTGTCGTGTGTGAAGACGTGGATGGATATGCTACCATATCCATATGCTGGATTTGTTACTAGCGTGAATTGCTGTTTATTACCGACTGCTGTTTGTCTGGTAAGAAGATATCTGTAACTTCGGATTGATTTGAATGGCTAAAGACTTGGATTGACTAAAAGACTATGCAATTGTTTTTCACTACAAAGTAAAAGCTTTGTTAAACCAGTTTGTATGTATTGTATTCATTGCTCTCAGTACCGTTTCTCTGTGCACTTATTCTGCTGGTTGGTAACACAACAACATCCTTAACACTCCTATTTATGACGGTTGCAGTGTTCCGGTGGTCATGTGATCACCTTTTGCGACTTCTGACGAGCAAAGTCAATGGGGAAGCCAGATTCACTTAACAACTGTGCTGATAACTTAACAACTGCGGTGATTCACTTAACAACTGCGGCAAGAAAGGTCGTAAAATGAGGCAAAATTTACTTAACAACTGTCTCGCTTAGCAACATAAATTTTGGGGTTAATTGTGATCATATGTCGAGGACTATCTGTACTATTTTATGAAAATGCTGAGAATTATCTGTAAAATTATAAAATTACCACTGCCATTTCTAAAAAAGGAGCAATGAGATCTCTTTATGTAACGGCTTCCAAGCACCACCCTGATGCTTCTTCGTGAATGCAAATGAAGTATATATTGCTACAGCTAGAATATTTGGACATCAGCAGTGAACACATTGGATTTACCTCTCTTCCAAGCAATTGAGAAGTTTCTTCATTACTCACATACTCAGGTGGCTACTGGAAATGATCTTCCTTTATCTTCACTTCCTGGTTTATGAATACTGTATATGTCATCCTCCTCCATGCCAACCTGCCTAGTCATTCTCTTGCTCCTGATGAGCTACTCAGCAAGGCCTTGTTTTTCCCTGGAGCTATCATATGCCTAGTAGTAGGACTTATCTTCTTCATCCTTTTCTCATCCAGACTACACTCTGCCAAGCAAGTATGCAAAAAAAAAAAACCCCTCCATCCTTTGATATCCTACTAATACATTTCACCATAGAAACTAACGTCGATGTCACTTTTATTTCATAAAGTCTCCTTCAAGTCTAACTCAACTCATGATGACTTCATGGACAATCCATGTATGTAGCTTTCCTGGCCACGGTGGGGAAGTCATTTCCACTGATCATGTGCAAAATGTTTTTCAGCTTCCAGCTTCACCTATGATCCTAGTATTTCCAGGTGGTCTCCAAATCAAGTACTGATCAAAGCCAATCCTGCTAAATGTTCAAGATCAGCCATATGGTTGATGCTGTCATTTAGCTGGCTTCATGGCATAGATGTATATTAGATCTTTTTTAAAGATTTTTTTTTAATCCCACTTTTATTATTTTTATAAAGAAGTAAAAAACCAGCGAACATGACTAATAGGCTTTATTCCTTCTATTTTCCCTACAACAACCCTGTGGGTGAATTTCTGTTCCTATCAGCAATAGTTACTTTCTTCAACAAGTTCACTATCTTCAGTGGGAATTATGAGTTGTAGTCCAACATATCTGACACATACAGGAATTTCTACTAAACTTTAAAGCCAGGACCCAGAAGGTTTCAGGGAACAAGGTCAAATTTTCACTTGAGTCCACAACCCAAAGAATATTGCCAGTTTGGTACAGTGGTGAAGGTGCTGGCCGAGAAACCAGGAGACTGTGAGTTCTAGTCCTGCGTTAGCCATGAAGGCAGTTAGGTGACTTCAGGTCAACCGCTCTCTTTTAGCCCAAACAACAGGGTTGTTCTTGTGGGGAAAACAGATGGAGAAAGGAGTATTATATATGTTCACTGCCATGAGTTACTTATAAAGTAATAAAGGCAGGATTAAAAAAACATCAATTAAATAAATAAATATTCAGAGAAGAAACCAGCCATTTCAGTCACTACTTATGTTTTCTGTGGGCACTTCTGTCAAAATTGAACCCATATATTTCATTGTGCTATATTTATTCCCATCCTAATACATACCAGAATTCACCTTTAGGTTCTACTATTTGTAAAATAGAATACATGAACACAAATAAATATGAATTTAGAATTCACCATTTGATTAATTTATCATAAATACTTATCAGCAATCTGCATTATGGGATTATTAATCTTTGCTTGTATCTTTTCAATAATATCCAAAACAAAAATACAGATTGCTCAGTGACATGCACAGATTACATACATATTAGATTTTTTTTAAGGCAAACTTGATTGACCCAGATCAAATACATCTTCCTAGGCAGAAATGGCTGCCTATGGTGGATCCCATTGACAGGTAAATTATAAAAGGATGAAAACAAATGTAGAAAACAAACAAAGAATTGTCGCTTTTTTAAAAATGTAAAGATGTTCATGTTTCTTTTTAAATGTTTATTTTCCTGAATATAAACCAAGCTATTCAGTGCAATATACATGTTTACCCTCAAATATCAAAAAACCAAAATCGAGCCTACACATAGTTAAGCAGTGCGTGTATTGCCATATTTTGATCAGTAATACGTTTAAAATATCAGATTCCTAATAACTTTTAAGCATCTTTGTTGACCAGTGCTGGTCCTTGTATCTTGCATGAATCACTGCCATTTCAGTCTTAGCACACATTTACAGATCCAGATTCAGGAACTACATTTGGCCTACAAGACGCTTCTTTTTAGACGAAATGGTTCAGAACATACCACAAAGCATGGAGATCTGAAGGATATTTTCCTTCCCTTTCTTTTCTTTAAGCCACACATGACATGTACCAGGAATCAAGACAGAAAAAAAACAAGGAAAAAAAGATGGTACCATACTGAGATGGGGGAAAATGAAGGATGAGATCAGCCGGATTTTCCAAGCCAACTCACCTCTCTCAGCTGCTCCAGCTCCTGTTTGAGGACATCATATTCCGTTTCCAGCTCATCGTACTGCTGTTTAAGGGTCAGCTTCTCTTCCAAGACCACCAGCCCATATTCAGCCGCCTGGATCTTTTCATGGGTGGTCTCGGTCAGCTCTTTGGTCAACCGCTCGATCTCCGATTTATAGTGATCCAGGGTCTCCAAGATCTTTTCTGCAGCCATAGCTTTGGAGGGTGGTGGCAGCAGGGAGGGGGAGGGGGAGGGGGAGGCGGGGGGGAAGGGAGGAAAAGGAGAAAAGCGATAGAGAATGAGAGGAAGAAAGAAGGATGGAGACAGATGGGAAGAAGAGGGAGGGAGGGATGAAGGCAGCCACAGGATGGATGGATGGATGGATGGATGGATGGATGGATGGATGGATGGATGGATGGATGGACAGCAATTCGCCCTGGGATGCTGTTGGGAAGCGGCCAGCTACCTCAGCTCAAGGCCAAGGGAGAGGATGGGATGCAAGATGAAGAAGAAGGTGTAAGGGGAAGGAGTCCGAGGCCCCCCAAGGCTGCTGCACCATTTGTCCTTCGGCCGCTCCACAGAGGGACAGCATAATTGCTATGTGGAAGGAGGAGAAGGAGAAATCGAGAGGGCGCCTCTTTCGCCGCCCTCCCCCACCCCACCCCCGCGCTCAATTTTTGCTTATTCAGAGGCACCGGTCCGCCATGTCTCCAGGGCAGCTTCACCGCAGTCTCTCTCTCTCTCTCTCTCTCTCTCAGCCGTCCACCTGCTCTCGCTCTCCCTCCCTCCCTCTCTCCCTCTCCCTCTCCCGGCTGCTGCTGCTGCTGCTGCTGCCGCCGCCGCTGCAGCGCCAAAGGGGGCGGGGGAGATGCTGGAAATGCAAGTCAATCAATAAAGCAGCAGCCCTGGCTATATATGGTGCAGCTTCAGGCTCCTGGTCCCCACGAAATCGAGTGGGAAGGAAGGAAGGAAGGAAGGAAGGAAGGAAGGAAGGAAGGAAGGAAGGAAGGAAGGAAGGAAGGAAGGAAAAGGGGAATAGAGGGAGGAAGGGGAGAAGGAAGAAAGGAAGGAAAGAAAAGGGGAATAGAGGGAGGAAGGGAGGAAAGGAAGGAAAGAAAGAAGGAAGGAAGGGGGAAGGGAGGAAGGGGGAAGGGGGAAGGAAGGAAAAGGGGAAGGGAGGGAGGGAGGAAGGAGGGAGGGAAGAGGAAGGGGGAAGGGAGAGAGGAAAGAAGGAGGAAGGGAGGAAGGGGAAGGAAGGAAAAGGAGAAGGAAGGAAGGAAGGAAGGAAGGAAGGAAGGAAAGGGGGAAGGGAGGGAGGGGGGAAGGAAGGAAAGAAAGAAAGAAAAGGGGAATGGAGGGAGGGAGGAAAGGAAGGAAGGAAGGAAGGAGAGAGAGAGATAACCTATTACCAAACAGAGCTGCGCAGGCAGGGAAGCGACCATCCAAGAACGCCTCTGGTTGCCTCCCCGGTCTCTTCCTCCCTCTTCTACGCACGGCTGGGTGAAAGGACAGCGGGGACCAATGACGGCGACGCCTTTTCCTCCTCCTCTTCAGGGCATCTTTCTTTCCGCACTTGTAACCAAAGGAGCAGGTGGAGAAAGGCTGCGGTCCTCTATTCCAGCTTTCTGCCCCCTCGTTTCAGAATCCTGTTCCAAGAAGGAACCTGTGTAGGTGTTCAACCTATCACTAAGAGGATGGAGAGGATCCAGGTGTTTCCTTACCTGGTCAGGCCCATCCCCCCCCATATAATAGGTCCTCCTTATTTGAATAAATCGCAGGACAAAGCACCCTGCCCAAGATGGCAGTTGAGGCATGGACAGGGTTTGCAATCTGCTGAGCCCTAATATGATTGATTTGGGCTTGGTGGGGTTGTGTGAACTCAACCATTGGGATTTTTTTTCCCCACAAGCCACAGTTTAACAAACTATATAGTGATGAATGCTAGGGGTGTATCCTGTCCTGGAATACATAAGAAAGAAAGCAAATTGTGGAAAAGGAAGTGAATTCCATGCTGGAGATTCTTAGGAAAGGGCATGAAAATTAAAATGCCAACCTTGTAATGCCCTTACAATGGGGGACCATCCACATCTGGAATACTGTGTATAGTTTTGATGGCTACATGTAAAAAAGTGGAGTAGAGGGAAGCACAGAAAAGGGCTACTAAAATTATCAGCCAGCCTGAATATTTTCCTTAGGAGAAAAGATTAGAATGGCAGGAATTTCCTAACTTAATAATAAGATAGTTGAAGGGAGACATGATCGAAACATTTAAAAAAAATCATGCATATGACATAGAGAAAATGGTCATGAAGGTTTTTTTTCTCTGTCAAAATCTTAAAGTTGTCTGTCTGGGAGAACATTTACAAGAGACAAAGCATTTTTTTTTCACACAGTGCAAAATTAATCTCTGGAATTCATTACCATAAAGGAAGATTCTGGTCACTAACTTGGATGCTTGTCAAATGCACTTGGATAAACTCTTGAAGAACAATCCAAGAAGCGCTGCTGGTCTTAAAAGACTCAATGTATCCTCTGGGTTGGAAGCAAAGACGCCTCCGAATTCCAGATGCAGGAAAACAAACAAGAGGGAAAGGATGCATTTCTTGCTTACAAGCACCATGAGATATCTTTGGCCCAGGGGTGCTATTCATCAGGTTCTGGAGAACCAATAGCGGAAATTTTGAGTAGTTCGGAGAAATACCACCTCTGGCTGGCCCCAGAGTGGGGTGGGAATGGAGATTTTGCAGTATCCTTTCCCCCAGAAGTGGGAAGGGAATGGGGATTTTGCAGTATCCTTCCCCTGGAGTAGGGTGGGAATGGAGATTTTGCAGTATCCTTCCCCTGGAGTGGGGTGGGAATGGAGATTTTGCAGTATCCTTCCCCTGGAGTGGGGTGGGAATGCAGATTTTGCAGTATCCTTCCCTGGAATGGGGTGGGAATGCAGATTTTGCAGTATCCTTCCCCTGCCACGCCCACCAAGTCACCCCATGCCCACCAAGCCACACCCACAGAACCGGTAGTAAAATATTTGAATTCTACCACTGCTTTGGCCCCTATGAGAAGGAGATGCTGTACTAGTAAGATGAGTCTCAACCTGATCCATCATGGAAGTTCTTATGTTCTATGCAATTATAAGTAACATGGCATATTGTTTAGGCCTACTTAATCTGATCAACTTCAAAGCGGTGTTCTATTTTTGTTCTACGTTCTGCAAAGTCAGAAATGCCAAAGGTGATGTTATTTCTAAGGGAAATATTAAAAGGAGAGTAGAAAACGGAAAACAGAGTGACTATCAGTATTTATGCCATCATAAAACATGATGTTTTGCTTTGAGAAGATTTGTTTCCCAGTGCCATATCAGTCTCTTCATAAGATGCCTTCTTTTTTAGCCACATGACTTCTTCTCTTTCATTTCCAAAGGTGTTTCCTGTTAGATTGCAGGAATATTCCCAATCCTGAATTACACACTCAGAAAACCTTCATTATTTTTGAGTCTAATAATCCCAAAGGTTTATTTATTGCTGTGCTTATTACATAATTTGCCATTACAATGGACAACTCAACAGATCAACTGCTTCCCCACAAATGGTGAATAAACAAGCCCAGATGGTCAAGCCAACATCTCATGGTCAAAGAGCTCCCTTACTAAAACCCCAACATCTGGTTCTCATTTTGCATCCTTTTAAATTTATGAGTAATTTATAGTATCAGATAGCAATACCATTTAAATCAGTGGTGGGATTCAGCCAGTTCGCACCACTTCAGGAGAACCAGTTGTTAACTTTCTGAGCAGTTTGGCAAACTGGTTGTTGGAAGAAATCATTAGGGCAGAGAACCAGTTGCTAAATTATTTGAATCCCACCACTGATTTAGATGTATATACTGCTTCATACTGTTTACAACACTCTAAGCCAGCCTATTGCCCCCAACAATTTGGATCCTTGTTTTACCAACCTTGGAAGGCTGAGTCAACCTTGAGCTGGTCAGGATTGAACTCCTGGCAGAGAACAGGATTAGCCTGCATTCATTCCTGATTCAGAGCATCTGTTCAGGATTCCTCTCTGCTAAACACTCCAATAAAGCATTGGATCAGTGGTGGGTTGCTCCTGGTTCGGTCCGGTTCTATAGAAACGGTAGTAAAACCAGCGGGAGGCTCCGCCCACCCACCACGATGTCATCATGGGTGATCTGCACATGTTCAGAAGTGCACGCGCTCCCGTTGCGAACCGGTAGTAAAGGTAAGTAGAACCCACCCCTGCATTGGATGAATGGTCTTACCAGGTTTGGTACATTTTAAATGGTTCCATGATCCATAATCCATAAGAGCCATGATTCTGCAATGCTATGTTTAATTTCCTCTGGTCTGTCAAGGAGATAGGCTAAAGATGCAGGAAGCAGGAGATGGCTAGACAAGATTTTATTTATTTATTTTATTTATTTATTTGTTTAAATTTCTATACCGCCCTTCTCCAATATAGGACTCAGGGCGGTGAACAGCCAAAGTAAAAACAAGACATACAAAATCTAAAAACTGTTTAAAATAATTAAATATTTTGGCCGTAATTAAAAAATTCCAATTTAAAATCAGTTTAAAATTTAACTCAAGCCAGCCCAGCTAGCTGAAATAAATGGGTTTTCAGGGCCCGACGAAAAATCCGGAGGTCTGTTATTGTACGTATCTCTGGGGGGAGGTTGTTCCAGAGGGTGGGCGCCGCCAGAGAAGGCTCTCCCCCTGGGGGTCGCCAGCCGACATTGTCTGGCGGACGGCACCCGGAGGAGGCCCACTCTGTGTGAGCGTACTGGCCAGTGGGAGGCTATTGGTGGCAGAAGGCGGTCTCGTAAATACCCCGGCCCTGAGCCATTTACATTACGACAGTGTTGAAGAACTTCTCAGTGTCACCCTACCCTACAAAGTCTTGTTGCCTTTTCTTGTTATTTAAGCAATTTAACCACATCCTTGGAATTGGGTTTTCCTACTGGTGCTTACTTCCTTCAGCTAGGCCTTTCCTGCTCCAGATTGATCCACATACACACACTCCCTTATTTATCTCAAGATCACGTCCCACAAATTATGCAACCTTCCTTCCTTTTAGACAACACCCTTCACATAATCTTAATGAAGGTCCTTAGATGCAAAGGGAAGAATTCTTGGTTCAAACCTTTATCATAGGCCCTCAAGATAGTCCATCTCATGATATTGCCCATGGCGGCTTCATCCTTGCAGGTGTTTACGATCTTGATCTTCAGCCACTTATCTAAGTTACCAGATATACTTTGTTTGACCATATATCATGTTCCCCTTGCTTCCTCCTTATGGAAGTAAAGCAAATATGTTAGCTAATTGACAACATATCATCAAGCCATTCCTTAATACAGGGGTCAGCAACCTTAAACAGTCAAAGAGCCACAAAGGTCCTAATCGGAAACCTCCATTCAATTCTGGAGCCGACTGGAAGTCTGGTTCCCCCATCATAGTCTCTTCCTAGCGTGGCATCCTTTTTCCTCTACCTATCCTAACCGAAAGCCCTAATAATTGTGGAGCCGACCAGCAACAGGGAGCTGCAGCAGTGGGATGAAAGAGCCACATGCAGCTCCAGGTCAGCAGGTTGCTGACCCCTGCCTTAATATAATGCATCACAGAGAAATACAGTATAGAGTAGATCAGAGGTGTCAAACTCGATTTCATTGAGGGCCGCATCAGGGTTGTGTTTGACCTTGGGGGGCTGGGATGGGCGTGGCCAGGGTGGGCGTGGCCAGCTTGACATCACTCATGTCAGGGGTGCTTGGGGTGGCC